AAATTGTACGATAAATGCTATTCGCTAGAATCGATTATTTTAATATAAACCCGTGACTAACCAGCCATGTTCGAGTCGCCACAAACATCTCTATATAAAATGTTAACTTCTTTCTTTTCGGCAAAAGTGCGAAGTTCAGGACAAGAACGAGGCTCGCGGTTGTCCCTGTAGCTCGTGGACGATGAACTGCATGGTCTTCCAGCACACTGGGCTATAAATTGATCATAAATGCCTCATTTTTCATCATGCATAATTTACTTATAATTAAGATCTATTCACCGTATTGAAAGGCAAAGTGTCCGGTAGTCGGCTTACACGTAAAAGAATACATTAATTTCTCGGGTACAATAGAATTTCAAAGTGCCATTTTAATTAGAAAAAAAAATAATCATTAGAGTAAACTTTGAATCTTTGGTACTATGATCGTGACTGACTTCATTAATAAATTTATTTCTTCTACAATCAATCTTTGTATTACATTCATGCCAAAATCGATTGTGCTAACATTAGATCACCGACCGTCAAATTCTCCAAAAATTTTAACAGTGGCCGCGAATGTATGCCTCTTTTCACATCAATAAAATGACAAGCCTTGAGCCTCGCTATTCAATAAGTCCTGCTACCCTGGCCCTCTGCTGTCACTCAGTATTAGTATTCGCTTCTGTGCCTCTCAATTCAATGACAATTAAAGCCAAATATCTATTTTTTAGAGGATTTTTAGATTTTTTAGATCTCTATGTTTAGAGTGATGTGTATTTATTCCGAAGGCTATGTTGAGCTCCGCATCAGAATTTTAATTGGTAAATGCAATTTTAACAATCCATCAACCTCAATATTCATGTAAGATTTTTTTCAGTAACAAATGCACAAATTTAACAAAATGGACCAGATAACCTCAGATTTTCTAAATAATCCAATCAATTAGAACATGAATGCGTGATTCATGAGACGCTAAATGTCCCTCTAATGTTTATTGCTCAATGTCGCTATAAAAAAGATTATGAATCTAGTAAAATTGAGATTTTTCGTTCCGGTTGTCCTGAAATAATGAAAAATATCCACAAGTTCCAGCTGAAATAAACAATTTGTTAGTTTACAAGCGTGAGCAATTGAGATTGTATTTAAAGTAAAAATAGATTTCATAAAGGTTTTATGCTTTCTATTAGAGCTCCGAATAGTTATGGAATATTGCATTAGAAATTCCTATATTTATTCAAACGAATAACTTAATGATGTATTCTACACATAAATATTTTAAAAGCAAACAATCACATGTTACACAAATAGGTGCTGGAGGTAACTGAGGGCTTCAATAAATATATGTGAGTATTCCGATCTTATTTATACATAACTGCCAGCTGGTCAATAATAGGACTATGTTGCGACGGCCCGCAATAATGTCATCTCCATGTGCAGTGAAATATTTATTGATCGGCGTTAACAAAACAAACTTGAAACAAATCCACTAAGTAAAAGTTTTATATATAAATAATAATAATAATAAAGTCCTACAAAATAACCCACAAGGACACACATGACCGTAAAATCCTTTGGAAGAAATGCTGATTGATTTATTATCTGGCGAATTAGCTAGTGTTAGTGTCATTGTTGCTTAATTAGTTACTTGACCAACGTGTAACTGGTAATTAATTATAACTAGTGAATGTGTTGGAGGTGATTGATTACTCAAACGGCGAATGATATAAAGAAATAAAAAGATCGAATTTACTTGACCGCAGACAGCGTGGAAATATTGTGCAGTTATGTACGCTTCCATCTATCCATAATTATGTCCATATTCAATAATTACGTGAATAATATTAATTATTATTCATGTGAATAACGTGAATTGTGCGTCCCCCCTCAACCTGTGGAATAATTCATTTATAGAAGCCGAACTGGCAAAACCAATTCTGAGCCAACCACTTTTCTATGAAGTTTTTGGTATGGTTATGAGAACCGATAATATCTAACAGACAAGCCAGCAAGTTGTATTCCCCCCAACGATGATGGAAAAATTCTCAGTTGCCCGTTCTTATGCCTTCTAACTTATGGACGTAAATATCAGAGAATTATGACACAGGTTATATTATAATATTGGCTCAGCCTGAAATTAACAAATTTTTGAGAACCACTTATAGTAGTAGTATAATAGTGTCGGCGTTGAAGAATAGGCTCATTTGACTTAGCGCGACCATTGGCTCATTAACTTTGATATGAAAGTTCATCCTTGAATTAAAAGACAACTTAAAAGCAGTAAAATTCGTACAGAGAAGCCACATCACTTACTACGATATAATCTATAGGCATGGGCTGCGGTGACCTTATTTGAACATTCATAGGTTCATAATTATATGCATAAAATACGACTTCAAAGGCCTAAAAGCTGTCATCTCGTCTGAGGCCCTGATGATCCCCGAGTTGAGACACCTGCATTGATGCACCTCGACAAATTGCAACACCAGAATACTGGCGTCAATTTTCGCGTCGTCATCACCAGTACAATGCAGCATGGAAATTTTTTTGCAAGAATCGGGTGGTTAAACGTCACTAAGAGATTTACTAAACTATAAAAGAGTAAATCCATCTCTTCGAACTCTGCTTTTACTCGCACGTGTGCTAATTCATGTATATGTTATGTTTATTTCTCTGGAAAGGTTTCTGTTTGTTTTGAACATGCGAGCACATATTCAGCGGCTTGAGCGACGCGTTGGACTCGTCGGGGCATTCTGCTCCTCAACTTTATATTTGAGCATATAAGCTCAAGCTTTTATAAACTTAACAATAACATATATTATATAAACGAGTATATATATTTTTGGCCCAGTGACGTAAGCAAAATTGTTAAAAAAAGTAAAAAGAACTTAACCTGGCTGGACCTAACCTTAGTAGAAAGGTGTCAAGCAACGTAAAGAAGGGTTTTATACACACCTAAACCTAACTCTAACCCTAACCTAAGGAGGTTGGCGTTTTTTAGAATGTTCAGTAGTGTAGTTCATTTATTTTCGTGTCCGGTTTTTAAGTACAAACTAATTGCAGAGTTAATAACCGGACTCGATATTGTCCGGTTTTCTAACCCCTATCCGGTAATGTTACCAATTTTGTCCGGTAATTGTTCGAAATTCTTATAAGTAAGAATTAAATTGTCACTATAAGAATTAAATAAATTAATAATTACATTACTTAATTAAATTAAAGAATTCTTATATATAAGAATTTCGAACAATTACCGGACAAAATCGAGATATATATATATATATNAACTCCTCATCTCCACAGATTGGACTCCAGCTATCTATCTTCTGACTACCGGATTTGTCTGAACTCTGAAAGAATTTTCCGAGTAATTTTTGGTCCAAAATTGTACTGTTGTATCCTAGTTACTTATATTATGTACTTATTTCCACCAAAATTTCAATGTTTAATGCTTCTTTAACTTGAAAATGAATGTTTGTTGCATTCGAAACGTCGTTAATAAATAAGAATTACTTCCTGAAACTTGCCTTTTAATCTACCGTCCATCCGAAGAAAAGTTCCATTCACTGATAATATATATAAATATATATAAATATATATAAATATACTCGCAAACGAAGGCAAAATCGAAAAAATTGTCTCGAGCTAAACATCACCGTTGGAGAGTTAAGTATTCACATACGAAGTTTCTTTCAAATCTGTTCAGTATTTTAGGAGAAATTCAATGCTCACTGCGAATTTAAGCACGAATTGCTGTTTAAATTACGAATGAGTTAAAAGTGGAAAGAAACTTGCAAACGATGGCAAAATCTAAAAAAAATGTCACGAGCTAAACATCACCGTTGGGAGTTTAGGTGTCTATATGCAAAGTTTCGTTCAAATCTGTACAGTAGTTTAGAAGAACTGTCATGCTCACTGCAAATTTCGGCACGTATTGTCATATAACTCAGGAATGAAGGTGAAATTCCAAAACTGTTCACGAGCTGAACATCACCGTTAGGTCCTAATGAATACGTGTACCGAGTTTTATCGAGCTACGTTCATTACTTTGGGAGATATTCCATGCTCACTTAATTTGGGGAGACCGACCGCAAGTCCGGCCGCGAGTTCGGCCGTAAATTTGTTCGAGACGTGCTTGTTGCAGAATAGCGTTCATCTTTTTTTGTGTCGTACTATTAGCAAATACTAATCATAAGTAGATTCTGCGACATGGGTACATTCCGCGACAGTAATTGTGCGACCTTTTGTCGCACAATATGCCAAAAATGTGGCGAAGTATGAGTCCACTTATCCAGACTTTAATTATTTTTTTCTAAGTTGCAAAAAATATTTTTTAAAAACTTGACTTGGCTGGACCTAACTCCAGTAGAAAGGTCTCTTGCAACGTAAAGAAGGGTTCTAGACGCACCTAACCCTAACTCTAATCCTGACCTAATGAGGCTAGCGTTTTTTTGATGTCCGGTAATGGAGTTCATTAATTTATTTCCGCGTCAGGTTTTTAAGTACAAACTAATTGCAGAGTATATTACCAGACGCGATTTTGTCCGGGTTCCTAAATTCAACAGATTTTCTTTACTACATGCCATTTTTTTGATTGCGAAATTACTAACACAATTTTTCCTAATATTCAGTTAGTAATATTTGGTATAACGTATGTAAAACAGGCACTTTAGATAGTTCTTAATTTTATTACCATTTCGGCCGTTTTCGGCAGCTTATTTACTTGATATATTGTATCACAAGCGTTTTCATTATTTTTGTTGAGTAATCTAAAGTAAAAGTAGAATAAATCATTGGACTTCTAAATTCTTAGTGTAATAAGTATTTTTTTCAACTACCATAAAAGTATGTAGTTTTATGATTGGTTTCAATACCAGCAACATAAATATGTTGCTTTCAATTATTTACTAATGTTGGCATACGATTGCAATTCTTTCGTCGAAACGCTGCAGTTTGTTCAAGCCACGATCTACGATGGACAATTCAACAACTGCAGTTGGTTACAAAAGATAAAAATACGCATGTTTAGTTCAATGCAGTTTATTTCCCCAACCAAAACCAACACTCAAATAAAAAGAACACACTTCTGATGCCTTAAAATACGAGAGGAGGAAGTGACGTGTCTACGACCACGACGTCAGGGACTAGTAATGAGGGAGCTGGTCAGAAACTCGAACATACTTACAGAGTCTAAAGTCATACAACCCAGTTGTTAGTATCGTCTACAATATCTGACAATTCATACAACAACAGTTTGTAAAATAAAAGATCTTGAGATATACGGTCTTACAGTTTGCATCGTATACCTGTCACTAGTAGATATAAAACTGGATTCACATGTAAATCTAGTTTTGGGATTCCAGTTTTGGATTTTGGACAGGCTAAAGAAAATGTCGGCACGGCATTTTCTTTAGCCTGTCCAAAATCCAAAACTGGAAATCCAAAACTGCCTGTCAGTTGAAGCCTGTCAGTTGAAGATACTAAACTGGATTGTAAGTCTTTATTACATAAAATCAGAGTTGGTATTGTCAAAAATTTGAGAATATCCCCTTTCCGATCCATAATAAGGCATCGTGAGAAACACTCCAGTACGTTCTCCGCTATCGTGAGCTACTCATTATTCAGTGAATAGTCCAGTATTACAGTTCACGGTCCTAGATCTTCCGGATTCACGTCGCATTCTTAACCCGTGCACGAATTTACAAACAAAACATCATTCAACTTTCCGCGAGACTAGTAGGTTTTTTAGAACCAAATAACAGGGGACTGGACTGACAGGACTGGATTTGAAAACGGACATCAAGCGGGATTTTTCTGGGCTCAATTTTATGTGGTTACTAAGATTGTAACAAGTTACAATGTGGGGAAACAAGTTACAATGGGGGAAACATATTACAATGGTTGTAGCGATTACAATCGTTGCTTCGCTTCTACTACGAGGGCCATAAAATTTTGATGGTGTTGATGCGTATGAATCTTGCACGGACAATCCTGTAGACGTGGGCCTCTAAGCTGCATCAATTCTGTGGTGAAGTGGAGAAAAGGGAAAGGACTTGGTAAGTATGCAATGAATACAACATGTATAGAAATAATACGACCTGAAATGTTTCAAAACTGGACGCATTCTTCAGGAAATGAAACGCGATGCAGGTTCAACAGAATATATGATGATTTTGGAACCGTGCCTGAGACTCTGTTTCGGAAGGTGTTGTTGTTGTCTCGCAGTAGGTGGTGGTCACCCACCTGCTTTAGCGGCCGGAAGGTGTGGTTGGTGTTTCGCAGTAGGTGGTGGTTCGGTTGTAGACCATATTTCCACTGCAGATTAACTCGACGTACTTGTAGATACCACTTATTAAACGGCACGTGTAGTATCTGCAAAAGAACGCAATTTAATTCACTTTTTCCCGCGGAAAAATGTTCATCCCATTACAATTACTTCAAAATTTGTAGAAACTTCGTGATTCGATAATTTCTAATTTATGTTATTTTTCAATGTGTTTTCGTACAGAGACTACATGACTACTAGTGTCTAATGAATCGTTATAGTCAAACCCTCTAATTATGCGAAGAAAAATGTAAATGTAAATCCCTTAGTTATGATTATTGTGTTCAGAACAGGGCACAAAAAGTCGCATAAACAAGTTCATGGCATGAATGCCACTCAGTTTACCCTTAAACTGGTGGATTTATTTACTTGTATCAAGTATCAGTAACTTTAACGCGTCAACCTTCGTCAGTGTTGAGGAAAATCTCACCTCTTAGGATCGGACGGGTGGGGATAGCGCTTGTTGACGTTGCTGGCTGAACAAGGAGGTTTATCAGTGGTTGGTGGTGTAGTTGTGGTGGACGATGTTCCAGTACCGCTGGTGGTGTTTACGGGACCACTGGACGCGAAAGTACATCCGTCCATATCGGGACACCCTGAAGGTGCTGGAGGTGTTGGTCTAACAATACAACCGTTGCCAATACTACTGAATACCTCCCCAGCGTCACATTCAATTTCACTTTCAACCACCCCACCTTGACACACAACAAACTTCGAACAGTTGGTTAAATGAGGTGAACTTCCATCAACGGTGATGCCTTCACAGTGATTCACCGGAAGACTTTTGCACGTGCCCGATATTTGATCGAAATAATACCCTGAAGAGCAGTTGAAAATGAAGTCTACGGTCTTTGCTAAACATAGCACTCCCGAGGTGCATGTAGGTTTGAGCAAAAAAAATTTAGGTTCAGTAGCAAGAGCTTCATTTTTATTGCAAACTGCGGCTGGACTATTTGGGTCTGATGTGCCACCAACACAAGCTCCTGCGCTGCACGTTTCTGCACCTGAACACTCTTTCATTTTGATGGGAGCTTGTCCGGGTCTACACGTGTGTACAATAAGCGGGTTGTAGGGATCACAGCCTTTGGGTTGGTTGCCACAATTGTTGCACACGTTGGTGCTACTTGCAGGCACGCACACTGCCGTGTTGCCGGTCTCTCGGCAAACCTTAGAAAAAATAATTTGAACTCTTTTACTTAACGCCCATTTCCATAATTGAAACCGTACAATATTATTAGAAAAGACACTGTACAAATGTATGTACGAGTAAACGCAAATATGCGTATAAAAAGTACTTTTTAAAAACCAGACTTCTAAAGAGGCCGGTGTCAAAGGTGTTACACATGTACAATGAATTTCTTCTTCTATTTTTTACAACACTTCTCTTCAACTTCACTTCTTGTTGTTTGTTTGTTTGTTTGTTTGTTTGTTTGTTTGTCTGCTACAAATCTTGTAATCAAAATTTAACACACTTCTACTTATCCTATCGATCTGAAATTTTGCACACCTGTGTAAAGTTGAAGACAATGCATGAATCAAATGTCAAAATAAATGGTTTTAAAAATTAAAAAAACATTCAAAATTAAAAAAATTGAAAAAATAATTTTGTCAGTTACAAATCTTATAACTGATATTTGACACACTTTTACCTGTCTAATTGATCTGAAATTTTGCACACGTGTGAATTCAGAGGCAATGAATGAATCAATTAATAGAATAAATAATTTTGAGAAAAAAATTTATATATTAAAAAAAATTTACATATTAAAAAAATTGAAAAATTAATTTTTTAATATTTGAAAATTAAATGAGAAATTCATTGTACATCTGTAAGATTGGAGAGACAGGATTCTCTGGAAGTGTTGTTTTTGAAAAATAATTTTTAAACGTATATTTGACTTAATTAGTATAAAAAAATTAATATATTTTACATATATAAAAATTTTCATTTTCTTTAAATTATGTATTCTGTCAATTCATTCATGCATTGTCACCGATTTTACGCAAATGTACAAAATTTCAGATCGATTGGCCAGGTAGCAGTGTGTTAAATATCGATTACAAGATTTGTTACAGACAGACAAGAAGTTAAGTTAAAGAGAAGTGTGGTAATAATATGCGTTTAAAAATTACTTTTAAAAGACACAACATTTCTGGAGAATTCGGTGTCTTGGATGTTACACATGTACAATGAATTTCTAATTTTCTTTTCAAATATTAAATAATTTGCTTTTAAAAATTACTTTTTAAGGATAACACTTCTAAAGAATCCAGTGTTTCCGATGTTACACATGTAAAATTAATTTAATATTTTATTTTTAAATATTTTTAAAAACTTAAATTTTTTATTGTAGATAAAAATTTAAATTTTCAAAATTATTTATTCTGCCAATTGATTCATGCATTGTCTCCGACTTTACGCAAGTGTACAAAATGTCAGATCAATTACACAGGTAGATGAGTCAAAAATATAGATTATAAGATTTGTAGCGGACAAAATTATTTTTTTCACATTTTTTTTATGTATAAATTTTATTTAATTTTCTAAATTATATATTCTGTGAATTTATTCATGCATTGTCTCCAACTTTACGCAAGGGTGCAAAATTTCAGATCAATTGGAGAGGTAGAAGTGTATTAAATGTTGATCATAAGATTTGTTGCAGACAAACAAACAACGAGAAGTGAAGTTAAAGAGAAGTATTGTAAAAAATGACTCTGGGACCCGAACCCAGGAGCATTATATTGATACGGAGTAATTATTTAAAGACTTCGTTTATAAATGTGGTGCTACAAAAATGTGATACAATAACCTCTACATTGACGCAATCCTACACAATAGTCAGCTATATATTACCTGCGATGAAGTGCACGTTTTACCGCCAGTCGAGGTTAATTCCTGAGTAGCTGAGGCGCAAGTTCCTACTTGTGAACAACTCATACAGGCAGTTATTTGCCCGGTTCTGCACTTCCGTGGAGGTGTTGTATCTGCAGTATGCACAGACGACATCCTGTTGGTAAATGCGAATGAAGGCAAATAGAACACAGGTCTAGAAACCTGAAAAATAGAAATGCTTGAAATATTGCGTGTATAAACGTCCGAAAAGCCAAGTAAATAAAGGTGTAAAAATCAAAGTGGATAAACGTCTGAAAAGAAACGTACAAGAACGTCTGAAAAGTATGCGAATACGTTTATGTATGTAAACGAATTTTTTTTTTCAAGTTGACTTTCGCTGAAACACGAAAAAAGACGGTCTGTGGCATTCGAAAGGTGCAATATATTTTGAGTCTGCGAAAAACAAATAGAGATATTTTTTATATATAATAACTTCCATTATAAACGTACCCAACGACGAGGGCAACCGCCACCTGGGGAAGGAAATAAAAAGTAAGCTTTAATTTTTGTAGAAATTAAAAAAAATATAACTCAGTACTCACTGCAGTGAGTGACAGAGAGCGCATTTTCTCGTCGACAAAAACGTGGTCACGGACGGACAGACGGACAGATAAACAGACGGACATGGCGAGCACAATAGTGCATTTTTTTCAGAAATGAGAAAATGCGCAAAAAACAGTTGACCGTTTAATTGTGTCAACACATGGAGTTTAATTGAGTCAATTGAATTAATTATAAACTTTTTCCTTTTATTCTTATAAAGACATACAAGAGCTCAATTATGTTCGGTTACAGAAAGTAATATCGAACGAAGGTTCCATTTCACAATTACTAAATCATAACTAAACATGATAATTAATGACAGCAAGATTATATGCGTTTAAAGTATGCTCACTTTACAGGTAGTTTTAGCATATGAACTAAAGGTAACCCTAAGATTAAAAAAAACATATATTGAATGAATTAAATGACCAAATAATCCGACAGTAACGTAGGAACAGATAATAAAAGATACATGAACAACATTTTATAAAGTAGCAATATTTTAATAAGTACATTTTACAATAAAAACTTTTTCGTTACAATTGATTATTTTATTATAAAGCCGTGACTAACCAGCCATGTTCTAGTCGCCACCAACATCTCTAGATAAAATGTTATCTTCTTTCTTTACAGCAAAAGTGCGAAGTTCAGGACAAGAACGAGGCTCGTGGTTGTCCCTGTAGCTCGTGGACGATGAACTGCATGGTCTTCCAGCACACTGGGCTTTAAATAGGCCATAAATTTCACCCATTTTCCCGAATATAATTCACTTATTATAAAATTTATGATGTTATTGAACGGATAAGTGTCAGGTTGTCGTTAATGGGAAGCATTCAGGTCCACGCCTATAGGCGTGAATAGGCCTACGCTCAATGACATATTCAATAGACATTTTTCTCTAGTAACAAAATCACGAAAAATCTTAAATCGACTGATATGCAAACTTTTCTATTGAAGTCATGACTGAGCTCATCATAAAATTTATTTCACTCAGATATAATCTATTGTGATTACAACTATCGTCATCCCTGAAAATTATCCACTATTTAAAACTGAAGGGAAATTCGTACCACTTTTTACGTCAATAAAACCAGTAAAGACTTAGCCTCGCCATTCAATAAACCTCTTTCTTGGCGCTGAACTGTCACTCATTATCAGTATACGCTTTTTCCACCTCAATTCACTGATAATTTAACCTCAATTCATTAATAATTTAATCTCAATTCATTGATGATAATTACAATCAAAGCCCTAAGACTTATCCCCTTCATCCGTCTATAAAAGCCACAATCTCCAACATTAAAGTTCCCATGTACCAAATTTTTAACAAGTCGGAGGATTAAATCTTATGTCCATAAAACTAGATGATATTTGAATCTATAAGAGGAGACATTTTTGTTTTTATGTTATACAAAAAACTGTTTATACGTGCAAAATATTTTCAGCTGTTTCAGCGGGAGAATTTACAATAATTTTTTCAATCAATAACAAATGGTTTTTAATTTTTTTAACGATTTTCTGAATGCTGAGTGGGTTTCATGAACTCAACAATGCATAATAAATCTGGTTCAGTATTCAGGTTAGTTTGTATAAATATATGAATCCAATAGCAAAGTAACCTGTGACATTCGACAAAATTTAATAGTTAAAGTGAATGGGCGTAATAAATGAGATTGTAAATAAATATTTCAGTTAGAATTTAAGTTAAAAAAGAACAATTATTAATTATAATCACATAAAATTGCGAAATTTTTTGCTCCTGTTATGTTGAACCTCTGAGAAAATATCCAAAAGCTCTTACTCAATTGTGCGTTTAGTAATAATATTACAGCAGCTTGAAGAATTGAAAGTTTGTTTGTTCAAAAAATTTTGTTTCTTGGTTCCATAAGTCAAATTAGGGGATCTGAGTATTACATGTAACGTTGATAGTGAAATCCGTAGATTTTATTGATAGGAAAACGTCCTCGAGTTTTTCTATTTATGAAAAACTTTCATACATTCTGCTACGGCCTTAAGAACGAATATTGATCTTTACTCTTCATGAATGACATACAATGTTATAATGTAAGGGAAATGATGAGAAACGTGACACTGCCTGAGTGGCCGAGTGGTGGTCATAAAATTAGAATTAGATTCAGCTTTAATTAATTAATACCGCTAATTAATTACAGTGTCCACATTATATTAATACATTACATTATAGTGCATTACATCACATTATATTATATTATATTATATTATGTTATATTATATCTGTCTCTTATACACATCTAGATGTGTATAAGAGACAGGTTCACAGTTTCACACTCCCGACAACTTGTTACTAGATGGTCAATTCTCGCCAAGTGTTGATTAGTCTCTCATTAAACTGAGACCTGAGAGTCTAGTTCAAATAAAACGTTGGCATGGCAGTTATCACTTCGATGCTGTGAACATAAATGTTTTTTTTAATACATTTTTTCAGCTGCCAATCGTTTCATTGTATTCAAAACATTACTTTTGTTTATGTTTTATGGAAATTAGTATTTGATCATTTAATATGTCCTCGGCTGTATATCCCGAGATTCTTTGCTTGTACTGTCATGCTGGAAATGCATGCACGTTCACATGAATGTGTATGCATATCCAGTATGGTAGTGCAGAGGCAATAATCTCGGCGATATACCGCCGAGGTTTTTTTTTTTAAATAAATAGTTGGAGGCGGCCATGTAAGTTGCGTAGGAGTTTCATGCCCGTTGCGCCTATGATAGAGGCGCTGCCGCGCTCGGTCAGTCTACGAAACGCGCCGCGGCCGCGTGCCGTTTAAGAGCGAACCGTCGCGCATAAAAAATGGACATTTCGCCGATGATGCGGAGATGTTACTCGGGCGCCCCAACCGAGCGTCTCTACCTTAATCTACCCAAACACGCCGGCGATACGCCTTGGATTTTTAACTGGGTTGGCGAGAAAAAGGTGAGGTTCATAATCCAAAGAAAACAATCCCCACAGCTAAACATGGCGGTGGGAATCTTATCTTTTGGGGTTCATTTTCTGCTGGGGGACCTTGAAGTCTGATCAAAGTAATTGGAATCATGTAAAAAGAAAAATATTTTTATATTATCAAAAATAACATCAAGCAGGATGCAGAAAGTTTTTTTCTTGGTCCTGATTGGATTCTTCAGCAGGATAATAATTCGAAGCACACATAGAAAATAGTCAAGAAGTGGTTCGAGGATTCTCACATCAATGTCACGGAATGGCCTAGTCAAATTCCTCATCTCAATCCAATTGAGAATTTGTGGCGCGTGCTGACAATAAAGATGAAAAAGAGACAACCTAAAAATTTGAAAGAATTGGAACAGTATGCCTTGGAAGAATGGACAAAACTTAGCGTCGATACATGCAGGAACCTTGTTGACCATTACCCAAAGCGTGTACAACAAGTTATCACGAGTAAAAAGGCCATGATATTAACTATTGATTCAGGGTACGAATAAATTTGGTCATGATTCAGTTTTATGTTTCCTTTGAATCTCTCGGGGAGCATAGTCCACCAGCTTCCCTATATGTCCGCTTTTCGGTCTACAATCCGGTCCCCGAATCAGACAGCTACAAGCGCCTGGTACTTATTCTGCCAACTCTTGCCCTACTTTCAGGAGACTATAAAGTCAGCAAGGAGGTTCTGACTAGTCGCTGATTGCGATCAGTTGGCCAACTGACCCAGAATAACTCTTACGCGAACATAGCAACTCTGGGGCGGAGACTGAAGCCTACCCCGAATTTTCTTTGGGATGTGACTTAAGGTCTCGTTGTGGGCCTCCCCAAGGTGGTTGCTTTGTCCTCTAGACTGAAGCTGTCACGTTAGGCGAAGGTTCTAGTACTAAATCCCAGTTTTATTTAATTTCAAAATATTAAAAGTTTTTTCTCCTACTAATCATTAAGTAACACCTCGGATTAGGTATTTGGAACACGACCTTTAAGTAATTATGGTTTCAATATAATTTTCGTCATTTTAATGGCTTCCATAATTGATAGAAAGTATCACAAGGATTTTCAATATTTTTGTTGACTAATCTAAAGTAAATGAAGATAACAAAGTATTCTAAAGTCTAAAAAGTGCATTGCTATTTGGACGCGGTTGACTCATCCAAGACTATTCTAAAGTAAAAGAAGATTAAATCATTGGACTTCCAAATTCTTAGTGTAAAAAAGTATTATTTTTTTCAACTACTATGAAAGTATGTACTTTCATGATTGGTTTCAATACCAGCAACATAAATATGTTGATTTTAAGCTATTTAATATTATTTGTCACGTGATCGAAATTTTTTTCACCGGAACGCTGCAAATTGTTCAAGCCACGATCAACGATGGACAATTCAACAACTGCAGTTGGTTACAAAAGAATAAAAATACGCATGTTTAGTTCAATGCAGTTTATTTCCGAAACCAAAAAACAAACACTAAAATAAAAAGAACACACTTCTGAAGCCTTAAAAATACGAGAGGAGGAAGTGAGGTATCTATGACCACGACGTCAGGGACTAGTAATGCGGGAACTGGTCAGAAACTTCAATGATACTTGCAGAATCTAAAGGCCGACAACCCAATTTTTAGTATCGTCAATATCAGACGAAATCAGACAATTCATATCAGACAATGTCATTAATATCAGATAATTCATATCAGACAATATCAGACAACTTAAACAACAACAGTTAGCAAAATCAACGATCTTGAGATATAAGGTCTCACAGTTTGTACAGTATACCTGTCACTAAATCTCACTAGCGGATATAAAACTAGATTCACAGTCGTTGTAGAAATAGCGATCGCCGTGCCGGAATTTTCTTTAGCCTGTCAGTTGAAGATACTAAGCTGGATTATAAGTCTTTCTTACATAAAATCGAAGTAGGCATTGTAAAAATTTGAGACTATCCTTTCCGAACCATGCATGACATAGGGTATCGTCAGAAGCACTCCAGCACGTTCTCCGCTATCGTGAGCTACTTATTATTCAGTGAATAGTCCAGTATTACAGTTCACGGTCCTAGACCCTCCGGCTTCACGTCGCATTCTTAACCCGTGCACGAATTTACAAACAAAACATCATTCAACTTTCGGCGAGACTAGTAGGTTTTATTAAAACCAAATAACAGGGGATGGACTGACTGCATGGACTGCATTTAAAAGCGGTCATCAAGCGGGATCTTTCAGGGCTTAAGTTTATGTGGTTACTATGGTTGTAATAAGTTACAATGGTGGAAACAAGTTAAAATGGTTGCAATGATTACAATGTTAGCGTCACTTCTACTACGGGGGCCATAAAATTTTGATGCTGTTGCTGCGTTTGAAGCTTGCACGGACAACCCTGTAGACGTGGGCCTCTAAGCTGCATCACTTCTGTGTAGAAATTAAGGAAAGAGAAGGAATTTAGTAAGTATGCAATGAATACAACATGTATAGAAATAATGCAACCTGAAATGTTCCAAAACTAGACGCATTCTTCAGGAAATGAAACCCGATGCAGGTTCAACAGAATATATGATGATTTTGGAACAGTGCCTGACTGCCTGAGACTGTTTCAAGAAGGTGGGGGTTGGCGTCTCGCAGTAGGTGGTGGTCGTGTAGCGGATCTCGCTACATAAAACTAATTATGTATATCATATCCCGCTACCTAGAACTAATTTAATTATATTTATGTTCATAATAATATGAATACTTACAATATACATTAAAATCATACACAATAAATCATATTATTAAATAATTATAAATCATCATAAAAATAATCGGAGAGAGCAGCTCAGTATGGCAACATCGACTTCCGTCACGCCTTGTTCCTTTATAGCTTCTCAAACCTTAGCGGCCTTTTTGCCTCCAGACATCGAACTGTCAACATCTCGCGTACGCTACCTAACTTAGAAACCCTGCCTTAGAACAGCTCTTATTCAACGTGTTAAGTGTAAGCCCTAACCTAGAAACTCTGCCATAGAATAGCTGTTATTCATTGTTAAATGTAAGAGTAAAGTCATGGCAGAGACGTTGCAAGTTTTTAAACAATAAAATATTCAGTATAACGTAGCTCACGTGACTTATACAGCTCATTTGTGGAATGTGTGGTGGATTGTGTATTAACATTGCAATATTTCGCAGTGTCCCCTGCAACGCAACCCACAACCTGCAGCCTGTAACACAACCTGCAGCCTATAACGCAACCCACAACCTGCCAGCCTGTAACCTACAACCTGCAGCCTGTAGCCTCGGCGTCTCAAGCCCGCATCTTCCGGCCAAGCCCGACGCGGGACGCCATCTTGCCGCGGTGCGTGCCTACGCCTAATTCCCTGCGTGCCGACGCTTCTCCGCGAACATACCGTGAACTCGTACAGTGAACTCGCACAGTGAACATTCAGTGAACTCATTCAGTGAACTCATACAGTGAACTCGTACAGTGAACTCATACAGTGAACTCGCACAGTGAACATTCAGTGAACTCATTCAGTGAACTCATTCAGTGAACTCATTCAGTGAACTCGTACAGTCAACTCGTTCAGTGAACTCATTTAGTGAATTCATTCAGTGAACTCATTCAGTGAACTCATTCAGTGATCTTTTGCTGGACATATTCTGTGAGTTACATCAACGTGCGTTCAGTGACACTAAAACGTGCTTACGGCGTTGCATCCACATCCCCATACGTGCCCACATCGTCACGTGTTTCGGGTAACGTCTTCTCGTATCTCGGCATCGCTCGATCAGCTCAGCCTACAACGTCTCCACGACGACTCACTACGCAACCACGCTGGCACGTCGACCTGGGTCCATACTTTCAAAAAAAGTTAAGAGATCGTAAGTTCATCAGCCAATCATTGACGGTCTTTCAAGCAAAATCCACCAATCATAGACAAGAAAATAGAGCGTAACTTCGTAAGTACTTACGTTTACTTAGCCAGTTTTGACAGTATGGCCCCTGCACCTCTGGCCCGGCCTACCTATTCCTCCTGGATCATCACATCGAGCAGGTCACGTGAGCTTAACCAATAAATCCATTTATTAATTGATTGTGTGTTTGTTTCTCCCAACCAAATTCGTCCTGCCGCTTCCTAATCCTTTCCGTCTGCAATTAGTGAATGATACAAGACGCGATTCTATTGGCCTGAAATAATCCTCTGATGCGAGTCTAAAAACATATATATATATGGATAAATAAAAAAATAAAATCCCCCATAGTCGCTCACCTGCTTTTCCGGCAGGAAGGTGTGGTTGTTGGCGGCTCGCAGTAGCCGGTGGTTGGGTTGTAGACCGTAGTTCCACTGCAGATTAACTCGACGTACTTGTAGATACCACTTATTAAACGGCACGTGTAGTATCTGGGAAAGAACGGAATTTAATTCGCGTTTTTCCACAGAAAAATGTTCATCCCATTAAAATTAAGTTAAAATTTGTTGAAACTTCGTGCTTCGATAATTTCAAATTTATGTTATTTTTCGATGTCTTTTCGTACAGAGAATACAAGACTCTATTAGTGTCTAATAAATCTTTACTGTCAAATTCTCTAATTATGCGAGATAATCTAAATGTAAATCCATTAGTAATAATTATAGTGTTTAGAACACGGCACAAAAAGGCGCATAAACTGGTTCATGGCACAAATTCCACCCAGTTTACTCTTAAACTGGTCGATTGAATTACTTTCATCATAAACCAGTAACTTTAGTGCGTCAATGTTCGTCGGTGTTGAGTAAGATCTCACCTCTCACACTTGGACTCATGGGGATAGCGCTTGTTGACGTTGCTGGCAGAACAACCGGCGGGTTTTGTAGTGGTCGTAGATGAAGATGTTGGTGGTGTTGTGGTAGACGTTGATCCACTTCCGCTGGTTGCGCTCGACTGTCCAGGAGGCCTGGTGGTGGTTGAGCTAGACTGTCCAGGAGGCCTGGTGGTGGTTGAGCTCGACTGTCCAGGAGGCCTGGTGGTGGTTAGGGAACCACTGGATGCGAAAGTACATCCGTCCATTGGTGGACACTTGGGAGATGCTGGTCTAACAATACAACCGTTTTGACTAATATTGAATACCTGCCCAGTGCCGCATTGAATTTCAGTGACAAACGCACCACCTTGACACACAACTCCGTTCGAACAGTTGGTTAAACTGGCAGAAATTCCGTCAGTAGTGACGCCTTCGCAGTGATTCACCGGAAGACTCTTGCACGAGTTCAAGATTTGATTAAAATAATGCCCTGACGTGCAGTTGTAAATGAACGCTACGTTGGTTCCTAAACATAGTACTGCCGAGGTGCATGCGGGTTTTAGTGAATAAAATTGTGTTGTAGAGGCACCATTTGAAGCACAAACTGCGGCTGGATTATTTGGGTCTGATATGCCATCAACACAAGCTCCTGCGCTGCACACCTTTGGACTTGTACACGCTGGCAGTGGGAGAGGAGGCATCCCGGGCATACACACATGTGGAATTGACGTATCATACGGATCACAAGCGGCGGGTAGACTGCCACAATTGTTGCACTTATTGGTGCTACTTGCAGGTACGCACAACGCCGTGTTGCCGAACTCTTGGCAAACCTAAAAAAAACGCTTCTACTTAACGCCCATTTCCATAAACGAAAGCGTAAAAAATTATAAGAAAACTCACTTCATTACAAATATATGTACAAAATTTTATACAAAAAAGACTCCGGGACACGAACGCAGAAGCAGTTCAGGGATACAAGTAAATATTTATAGACTTAGATTGTAAATATGAAGATATAATGTGTAAATACAATGATAAAAATGTGTATAATTGTGATGATACAATGTGTAAATGTGGTTTATACATTATGTAAATTTGATGATACAATGTGTAAATGTGGTTATACATTGTGTAAATTTGATGATACAATGTGTAAATGTGATTATACAGTGTTTTAATTTGATGATACAATGAGTAAATGTGGTTATACATTGTGTAAATTTGATGATACAATGTGTAAATGTGTGTAAATGTGGTTATACATTGTGTAAATTTGATGATACAATGTGTAAATGTGATTATACAGTGTTTTAATTTGATGATACAATGAGTAAATGTGGTTATACATTGTGTAAATTTGATGATACAATGTGTAAATGTGTGTAAATGTGGTTATACATTGTGTAAATTTGATGATACAATGTGTAAATGTGATTATACAGTGTTTTAATTTGATGATACAATGAGTAAATGTGGTTATACATTGTGTAAATTTGATGATACAATGTGTAAATGTGTGTAAATGTGGTTATACATTGNTAGTTGACGGATCTGTAGCTGGCGTCGCTGTAGTTGATGGATCTGTAGCTGGCGGCCCTGTAGTTGATGGATCTGTAGCTGGCGGCCCTGTAGTTAGCGGCGCTGTAGTTGATGGATCTGTAGCTGGCGTCGCTGTAGTTGATGGATCTGTAGCTGGCGGCCCTGTAGTTAGCGGCCCTGTAGTTGACGGATCTGTAGCTGGCGGCGTTGTAGTTGACGGATCTGTAGCTGGCGTCGCTGTAGTTGATGGATCTGTAGCTGGCGTCGCTGTAGTTGATGGATCTGTAGCTGGCGGCCCTGTAGTTAGCGGCCCTGTAGTTGATGGATCTGTAGCTGGCGGCGTTGTAGTTGACGGATCTGTAGCTGGCGTCGCTGTAGTTGACGGATCTGTAGCTGGCGGCCCTGTAGTTAGCGGCGCTGTAGTTGACGGATCTGTAGCTGGCGGCGTTGTAGTTCGCAGCGTTGTAGTTCGCGGCGTTGTAGTTCGCGGCGTTGTAGTTCGCGGCGTTGTAGTTCGCAGCGTTGTAGTTCGCGGCGTCGTAGTTCGCAGCGTTGTAGTTCGAGGCGTTGTAGTTCGAGGCGTTGTAGTTCGCACCGTTGTAGTTCGCGGCGTTGTAGTTCGCAGCGTTGTAGTTCGAGGCGTTGTAGTTGGCGGATCTGTAGTTTCAACAGTCACGGACGCCATCCTGTTGGTAAATGAGAATGAAGTCGAACAGATCACACGTCTAGAAACTTGAAACATGGAAATGCCTGAAATATTGTGTGTATAAACGTCCGAAAAGCAAAATAAATATACGTGTAAAAATCAAAGTGTATGTACGTCTGAAAAGAACCGTACTTGAAGGTCTGAAAAGTAAACTAATTCGTTTACGCATGTCAACGAATCTTTTTAACTTAAAGTAAGTTAAACACAAGAATGATTTGTGGCATCCGAAGGGTGCGATATATTTTGACTATTTGAAAACAAATTGAGATTTTTTTACATAATAACATCCATTATTTTAACGTACCAAGCGAACAGGGCAACTGCCACCTGGGGAAGAAAATAAAAAGTATAATTCACTTTTTTGTATAAAAATATCACGTTTAACCCAGGTAGGGCGTTTAGTTGTCTCATAGAATCAAAAACGTTTTCCGTTTATTCTTCTATATAGACATCCAATAGTTCAATTATATTTGCTTTCAGAAAGTGAGTTCGAACGAAGGTTCCATTTCACAATTTAAGCGAAATTGGTACAAACAATTACTAAATCATAACTATAACATGATTATATGTTATAAATGACATCATGATTATATACATTTAAAGTATCCTCACTTTACAGTTAATTTCAGCATATGAACTAAAGATTACCCTAAGACTTCAAAATATTCAATAAATGAATCAATTGACCGAAAAATGCGACAGGAGCGTAAAAACAAATAATAAAACATACATGAAGTAGCGACATTTTAACAGATAAATTTTAAAATAAAATATTTTTATTTTTTAATTTATAGTTATATTATAAAGCCGTGACTAACCAGCCATGTTTTAGTCATCACCCTCATCTCCAGATATAACGAATGAATCAATTACGAACGAATCAATTACAATATATAACGAATGAATCAATTGACCAAAGAATCCGACAGCAACATAAGAACAAATAATGAAATATACATGATTTGCATTTTATTGAGTAGCAATATTTTAACGAGTAAATTCACAATAAAATATTTTTCGTTATGATCGATAGTTTCATTATAAATATGTGACTAACCAGCCATGTTCGAGACCCCACAAACATCTCTATATAAAATGTTAACTTCTTTCTTTTCGGCAAAAGTGCGAAGTTCAGGACAAGAACGAGACTCGTGGTTGTCCCTGTACCTAGTGGACAATGAACTGCATGGTCTTCCAGCATACTGGGCTTTAAATAGGCCATAAATCCCAATCATTTTTCCCAAATATGATTCACTAATTATTAAAATTTATGATTGTTGAACGGATAAGTGTCGTTAATGAACGGATAAGTGTCAGGTTGCCGTTAATGAGAAGCATTCAGGTCCACGCGTTGGCGTGAATAGGCCTACGTTCAAAAACATATGATATACAGACATTTTACTCGTGTAGCAAAATCATGAAAAATCTTAAATCGATTGATATACAAATTTTTCCATTAAAGTCATGACTGAGCTCATCAATAAAATCATGTCTTTCAAAAATAATCTAATGTGCTTACAACCAATGTCATCCCGGAAAAGTATCCAATATTTAAAACTGAAGAGAAATTTGTCTCTCTTTTTACAACACTTCTCTTTAACTTCACTTCTTGTCTGTCTGTCTGTCTGTCTGTCTATCTGTCTGTCTGCTACAAATCATATAATCAATATTTAACACACTTCTACCTGTCTAATCGATCTGAAATTTTGCACACTTGCGTAAAGTTGGAGACAATGCATGAATCAATTGACAGAATAAAACATTAGAAGTTAAAAAAATAATCTTGTCTGCTACAAATCTTATAATCGATATTTAACACACTTCTACCTGTCCAATCGATCTGAAATTTGGCACACTTGCATAAAGTCAGAGACAATGTATGAATCAGTTGAAAGAATAAATAATTTTGGAAATGTATACAATTTTTATATATTCAAAAAAATTTGATAACTAATTTTTTTAATATATGAAAATAAAATTAGAAATTCATTGTACATGTGTAACATCAAAGACACTGTATTCTTTAGAAGTGTTGTCCTAAAAAAATAATTTTTAAACGCATATTTTTTACAACACTTCTCTTTAACTTCACTTCTTGTTTGTTTGTTTGTCTGTCTGCTATAAATCTTATAATCGATATTTAACACACTTCTACCTCTCCAATCGATCTGAAATTTTGTACACTTCGCAAAGTCGGAGACAATGCATCTATCAATTGACAGAATAAATAATTTTGGAAATTTTAAATTTTGTTTCAATTTTGAAAATAAAATGTAAAATTAATTTTTTTAATATATGATAATAAAATTAGAAATTCATTGTACATGTGTAACATCGGAGACACTGGATTCTTTAGAAGTGTTGTCTTTAAAAAGTAATTTTTAAACGCATATTTTACATCAATAAAAGTACAAAAGATTTAACTTCGCCATTCAATAAACATCTTTCTTGACGCTGAGCTGTTACTAAAAATCAGTATACGCTTTTTTCCACCTCAACACACTAATAATTTAATCTCAATTCACTGTTGATAATTACAATCAAAGCCTTAAGACTCTTCCCTTCATCCGTCTATAGAAGCCACAAGGATTAAATCTTACGTCCATAAAACTGCAAGATAATTTGAATATAAGAGGAGATTTAATATGAGATCCATTTTTCATGAGGAGATTCATTTTTATTTTTATGCTATGCAAAAGCTTCTTATATACGTGCAAAATATTTTCAGATTTATCAGCGGGAGAATTTATAACAATTTTTTCAATCAAGAACAAACGAATTTTTTTATTTTACATTTTTTTAACGATTTTCTGACAAAACGTATTCTAACGATTTTTTTCAACAAAATTCAATAGTTAAAGTGAATGGGGTGTTCGACAAATATTTTTAATTCAAATTAAAGTGATGGGCATTGTCTCATGGGATGAGACAATGAATCAATATTCCATTCAGAATTCAAATCAAAAAGATCAATAATAAATTATAATCACATAAAATTGCGAGATTTTTTGTTCTAGTTGTGATGAACTTCTAAGAAGATATCCAAAAGCTCCTACTCAACTGTGCGCTTAATTAATTATAATATTACAGAAGCTATTACAGAATTGAAAGTTTGTTCCAAGTTCAAACAAATTTTATTTTGTTCTATGAGTCAAATTAAGGGATCTGAATATTACACGTAATGTTGAAAGCTGAAATCCGTAGATTTTATTGATAAGAAAACGTCCCGGATTTTTTCTATATATGAATATTTTGACAATGAAAATTGTCAATGTCAAAAAAATGAAAACATTTGGTGTGCATGCTTTTTGCAACGACAGTAAGGACGTATACTGTTCTTCACGCTCATATAAATGATACTGCTCAAGTGTTCATCACACTTAAATGAATATACTTATACTGTTCGTTTCACTCGCAGGAATGTTCACTGTTCATACCAAGCGAATGAATGTTTACTAGCTTATCGTCACAATTTCATGAAAGACACACAATGTTTTAATGCATGGGAAATGATGAGAGACGGCAAATGATGGCCGAGTGCTGGTCATAAACTTAGAATTAGATTTAGCTTTAGTTAATTAATTGTGATAATTAATTACAGTGTACATTGCATTAATCAATTACATCGAATTACTTTCACTTTTTTTGCAAGTGAATGAAATTGTAAATGAAGCTACTTTCCTAGGTTGCATCAATGCGCAAAAAATCTAGTACTTTGACAGCCGAACATTTGCTGCATATTGATTTTTTCAAGAACTTCGATAGCCAAAATGCTCCGTAATAATTATTAATATGTAACTTGTGCCGCTGAACCGCGCCTGCCTCATTAAATGTTATATTAAATTAATTAAAAATATAACTCAGTACTCACTGCAGTGAGTGACAGAGAGCGCATTTTCTCGTCGACGAAAACTTGAGGTCACGGACGGACGGACAGACAGACGGACATGGCGAGCACAATAGTGCACTTTTCCCATAAATGAGAAAATGCGCTAAAAATTAACTAATTTAAAATGTATTCGTTCTTTCCAAGTATGAATACGTCATCTAAGTCAATGCCTAATAGTCACCATCTGACTTTCCAAGTCAATGGACAAAAGCGCAAAGGTGATAAAATTTATTTAATTTTTCTTTCTCTAAAAATATCAATTGAAAACGATATTCATATCTCATATAATTGGATCTGACCTTGTATATGTTAAAATTAGGGAGCCGATCCGTTCCCCTCAATTTGATGTCTTTTACATTACACACTGGAAAACATAGAGTAAATTATCCAAATAAATTGTTATTAAAATGAAAATAAATTCATCGTTTTATTATTATCATTAATGATGAATTATCAAACTGTATATCATAATTAATATGAATATATTTATCCTGAAAAAAAAAATTCAGGTGGCTCAAATTGTAGGAATGGATTTAATGGAACGAAAAATTTTTGTATAGCATTTTATATTTATTATCATTTATTTTATATAAATTTTTTATAACCTTATACAATTTTTTCCTGCTGGATCTCTACAGTTTATTGAAGTTTCTCACTTATTCAATTTGTTCTTTAAATTGTTCTATCATTTTCTCTGAAACAATTCGTTTCATGTGTTCAAAAGAAGGAAAATTTTAATTATTTGTAAGTCGCAACGATTTTCGGACAGATAATATTTTAAAAAATGCGAAAATTGAAAAATTAGGATGAGAGCTGCAACAAAATTGTTTATTTGCTATGTAAGAATTTTAAATACATGAAATGGACTCTGATGCCGTTATAAAAATGAGCAACTTATCATGTAATGAAACTATATACGTGAATAGTACGAACTACAAAGCATATTAAAAAATTTCAAAAATGTTTACAATTTTTAGAACCAAATCACATGACATCGGCTTTAAAAATAATTTTTCTTAATTTCGATTTTTCTACACAATGTTCATCGTGTGTGGTAAATTTTCTCAAGATATAAGTTTAATTTTATCAATTGAAATAACTTGCATAATTTATATAAATAACTTACTGATCTAACATGACACCCATATATCATAATTAATTACCAGATTGTGTATTGAGATGACATTAATTAATTGAAAATTTAGTAGTAACATTATTATGATTCAAACCATGGTCGATCAACAGAGAAATCACAAATAAAATTATTTATTTATATCTCACCTCAAGTAAACAGCTTTCATGATCACCAACTTACTTTATAAACATAAAATGTAAAAAGTGGTTACTAATAGACCAGGTATGAACATCAACACAAAAATGCACTATTGTGCTCGCCATGTCCGTCTGTCTGTCCGTCCGTCTGTCCGTCCGTCCGTGACCTCAAGTTTTCGTCGACGAGAAAATGCACTCTCTGTCACTCACTTCAGTGAGTACTGAGTTATATTTTTTTCTCATTTTCATGAGTTATGTTTTCTTTTTTTTCTTCTTTTTGTTCATGAGTAATGTAGGTGTATGAGTCACCCAGGAAGCTTACATATTCACCCCCTCACTTCCTCTCGCGTCTTTCATCATCGGCGGTTTGTGTGGATCAAGTTTTTACGCGAACTTTTAACTTTTTTCATAGCTTCAAGTTTTTATGTGAACTGGTATAGCCAGCTGGTGCAGGCATACACTATCTTACTTCCTACATTCCTTAGTGGGACCTAAATTTCTGCAACACATTTATAATCTATGCTGTATTTTCAACATATTTGAATTAAAAATATTTGTCAAACGAATCCCAAAGGCTTGTTTTCTTTCATTAGCTTTAAACTTTACATTATTATTGAGCGCTTAAAAGTAAAAACCATCGAAATTACAATCTCATATATTACATCTTTCAATTCTTATACGAGGTAAAACCTCAAGAATCAAAAAATAACTTTTTTACAGAAGCCATATTTTATTGCTCAACATTTAGGTTGATAGCTTTAGCTGGTCTCAGCCGTTGTCACTCGCTCTTTGCTTTTAGAAAGCTGGTCACGGGGGATAAAAGAGGAAAAAATTGCAGAAAAATTTCATCAAAAATAGTTAAAAATAATAAACTTTTCCTGGACATGTTGATGATCACGATGGATACAATTTTCTTACTCCAGTGGCAAAGACTTTACTACTTATTCGCATTATATATTCTGATGCAAGTGGCGTTTTTACTGTTGAATGAACGAATTAAATACGCTATTTTTCCGTCGCTTTTAGGTTTAATTATTTTTGTACACGTACGTTTGGCATTAATTAGCTTGTAAACGGGGGTAAATCAGATCAACTTTTATTCAATTATACTGTATCAAGCGCATTCAAACACTTTTTGACTTCCGGTCAGTGTCGAGTTTTTAATAGGCCGTAGTATTAGAAAATTTAACTCGAAACCTTGTCTGCAATTTTTTATATGTCATGTTAAATTTTAACTTGAAGTAACTATTGAAACTTGAAGTAACTATTTAACCTCAATAAGTAACAGATATTATTTCCAATTATCCCTTGACTTCCTTCATCCAATATATGCAAACTGTTTTAGATTTGCGTGTTTTTGCTTGCGAAATTGAGAGTTTCAACATCTGCTACAGGTTCAAAAACCGTTTTTAAAACTTTTTGTTCACATATAGCATGGTTAATCGATAAAAGTTCATGTTTAGAATTTAGAGACTCTTTTTCCATTGTCGACTTAGACATCATCACTCTGTCGTTGCAACCGTGTCTTCTCATACTGTAATCTTGCTATTCATAATTCTTGCCAAGGTGGATTATTTTACATTTGTCCGCATTATTAAAACGCAGCTGCCACTTATTAGTCCAGTCAACCAACCTGACAAAATCACATCGCAACTGCACTTTTTGCGACGTATTCCACACTGTATTATATAAACTTTTGTGTCGTCAGCATACATCGAGCACATGCTAGAGACAGCTTCTGGCAGATCGTTTATAAATGCAACGAATAAAACAGGCCCGAGAACGCTTTATTGTGGCACGCCGCTGCGCACTGAAGCCCAGTCTGATACGGACCCATTAATACTGACACGTTGTCGTCTCCCTACTAGAAAATCCCTGATCCATTTCAAAACATTACTCTCAATTCCCAAAGACTTCAATTCCCGCAACAGCCGCTCATGTGGGACACTGCCAAATACCTTGACAAATCAAGGCACATTGCATCTACTGGCTCTCTTTCGTACGGCAGGCGGGTCCATTCTTTCAGAGTAGAGAAGTTTGTGAGTACAGGAGGTTTGTGATGCAGGATCTCCCGGCAATAAAGCCATGTTGACAGTCTGATATAGGAGATTATTAACAGTCAAATGATCGATGTATCGATCCCTCACAACAGATTCCATTACCTTGCAGACGACACTTGTCAAACTGACAGGACGATAGTTGCCCGGGCAGCTTTTGTCATTTTTTTTAACAATGGTGTCACTTGAGCTTCTTTCCAGTCAGGCGGCAAGATCTCTTCGTTCAAAGTTTTTCGAAAAAATAACGTCAGAGGGCCGGCTAGGATGGTTGCTAACTCATGGAGTAATCTGGGGTGGAAGCCGTCTGGTCCACATCACTTGTTGGGATCTAGAGCGATCAGGCGCCTGAGTACTTCTTCTTCTTGTATTTCAAAGCTTGTTAATTTAGAGCCGGCTGGGCGCTCCTCAATAGCTGCAATACCGTTCAAGTCCTCTTCGGTGAATACGCTACTAGTAAAAAAATTGATTAAGAGCTTTAGCCTCGCCCTCATCAGCGGTTATCTTTCTTTGATCTACTTTCGAATCAGAAATATCGTCCTTTGTCTTGTACTTCGAGCTAGCATATAAAAAGAAGGCTTTCGGGTTCTTTCTTGCATATATGGCAATAATTTTTCAAAGGTTATTACTGCGGTGCAACAGCTCTCATTGGCTTGATTTCGAGTTCTTGCGTATAGGTTTTAATCAGCATCGCAACGAGTCTGTAAATAACGCTGGTATATAGGCTCCCTTCTTAGTTTTCAGCTTAGCTAGAACTCTACTGTTCATCCACTGAGTTTTTTGGCTGTACCGAGCTTAATTTTAGGTACACACGCATCAACTGCAGACATAACCGTGTCCTTGAGAAATGACCATGATACAGCCACATTCATGTCCTTAATACAGTTGGAAATATTCACTGCATTCACTGCTTTACGGAGTTTGTCATTTTCGCCTTTCGCAAAATTCAAACGCTCACGCTTCCGAGGCGTCTTTTCTGTACAGCACTCAATACTGAAAAACAATGATTGGTGATGGCTTTTGCCCAACGGCGCCTCGTGACGAAGCTCTTCCAACATTGGTTCATCACTAGTAAACACCAGGTCTAGAATATTGGGAGTCTGTTTACTTCTATAATGGGTTGGTTTGGTAACGTGCTGGACTAGGAAGGAGTCTCTCACAGACTCCATGAACAAGGATACTGGGTGATTCTCTTCCCTTGGAGAGGATCCTTTAGTCCAGTCTAGCTCTGGATGATTAAAATCACCAACGATCAACGGATGTGACCTACGGAAAGTCATGCTCGGTAAAAGACTGTTTAGTAATTTATCGTTATCAGAAGAACTGTTAGGTGATCTATATGCACGACGCCTATGAGGAGGCTATTTTTGCCTTTGAGAGCAAGTTCGCACCACACTGATTCTCTAGCTGATTGATGCTCTGCAGATAACTTGATTTGCTGGGCCCCATAAGAGGTTCTAACCCACAAAGCTACACCTCTACTACACTGCTCTCCATTCATGTAATGAAAACAATCAAAACCTGGCAACTGAAATTCAACAGGTACAATTTTCCCCCCGTGATTTTAGGGAGAGTTTCTGTAATACAAATAATGTCTATGCACTCGTTTGCTATTACAGCAAACAGTTCACTTTTCCAAGTTCGTGTAAAAACATTTTTAAACTTTTTGAGCACTTTTAATTTTCAGGATTTCCAGGCTTGGATCAATGGACATGACTTCTTACTTGTCTACCAGCTCCGTTGACTGACCATGTGCGGCCGGTGTTGTCTTGATATCGTGAGAGTGGTTGACCTGAGTTTCTGTGCTTTTCCGCCTGATTCTCTCCTGCCATTTCTTGCGAAAATTCGCTCTCTCTAAAGGGGTAGCATCCTTCTTTACAAAGAGGGAATTAAACTCTGGGAATTCACTTAGTTTTCTCGCAGCCTTTGGCACATATCCGACCTGGGCTGTATCCTGCACAGTTACCAGCAGAGGTGTTCAGGTGGTAGCGTCATTCGATCGCATGCCTCTTGCATGCCGTTATATTTACAACGACGTTTAGTGCCTTGGCACAATAATCAGTAATAAACGCACCGTCAGAAGCATTGCTTTCGGGAACGCCAAACCAAACAAAGTTAAGTCTTCTTCTCTCTCTATCCAACAGCTCATGAGTGCTCTCGCTGTGGAGATTAGAGATGACCCCTTTGCGGCCTTTACCTTCTGTGTTAACGCTTCTTTCTCTTTTGTGTGGATGAGCTCTCATTTCTACCAGCTCGTTCCGGAACGAGTGTAATTCGCTACGCAACAAGTTCAACTCTTTCTTATGGTTCTCCTCCATTTCGGCTCTCTTTCTCAACTCTTTCTTGTTGGTTTCTTCCATTTCGGCCTTAAAGACAGAGAACATAGAAGAGCACTTCTCTTCCACCATCTTTTCGCTTTTTGCAGCGCTAAGCGCAGGATGTTGTCAGTCCTGGCAATACCAGTGTACTGTCTCGTTTCTGCGCATAACCAAGCAATCTGTCTTGCTTAACATTGCACAATTGTTGCAGATGATATCCCCGCAATGATTACAGGCCACTGTAACATCATTGAAGTAAGACGAAATCAGCTTGCAAAATTTACAAAATTCCCCTCACTCATTTTGCGATTTGATCTTCGCATTCGGTCTATCAGGACTGGAGGCCTTTCCAAGTAATCTTTTTCCTCTCTGTCCAGCCATCATGAAATGCAAAAGCTAAAAAAGACAAGTTAAAAAACTGAATCACGTGGAGCAAAAATTGTACAAATTGCTGTTACAACTCGGTTACCGACTAGGCGGCTATCAGAAGGCGGTGATGTAAGCGGCGGTAAGGTGTTCAGGGAAGAGTAAGCAGAGCTGTGGCAAGAAACAAAGGCTGTATTGTCCTGCGCTGGTGAGGCAGTCAGACTTTGCCCTCACTTGCTGCACCAAGCGTCCCTCACTGACTCTAAAGCCCGCGTTATTTATGATCAAAAC